TCGCTTTCCTCCACTTCCTCTTCTTTGACTATTTTTCCGCTAGAAGCAAAAGAAAACTTTCTATTTTTTTTACCTTGCTTCTATTTCATTTACTATTCTCAATGTCCCAATCCGTAACATATCCATCGATTCATTTGGCTTTATAAACCTTTCCAAAGCCTCCTTTAGCTAAGTATTGTATATCTGTAAAACTGTTTCAGGGTATTCACTCTAATACTTCTTCTGCTCTAGTCGCTTTTAATTGGTATTCATGGATAAACTTATCAATAACTTTATTTCCACTAATTCACCTCCTATCAAAGAATCAATTTTGATAATTACAGGGCTGACACCAATTTTCTCCAGTTTTAGGCTGGTTACATTCTTGACACAATCCATACCTCTCATACCTTGTCTTCAAAGTTTCATTAAGTATTATTTTATTAACCAATGAACGTTTTTCTTGAGGTAAACAATAATAAGAATGAAGATGTTTGTCCCGAAAAGCAGAAACTTTAGAACAATAAGCGTTCTCTAAATTTCTTATTTGTTTGGCTACTTCTTCATTAATCTTTAAATCCCCAATAATTTCTTCACTAGAATCTTCACAATTTTTCAAATATTGATCATACTCATTTCTTAACTTATTAACACCTATATAATTAAAAAGTCAGCCTACTTGGTTCAAGGTTCATTCAGCATCTTTTCTTTTAATATCACGTAGTCAAGCACAGTAACCACTATCATCAGGATTCATTCCAACTATTATTCATTCTTTACATTCTTGATGACTAAATCCCCTGCTTTCTCAATCTTTTTGTAATTCTTCAGTAAATTCCTCACTGATATTTTTTCAGTCTTTTACTTCTTCAACTTCAACAGTTATAGCATCTTCTTGTTTTTGGTTATTTACTTGTGTATTTGTATTATTTTCCATATTCTTTTAAATTTATCCCGATTCCTTAGGAAAAGTAAAAGAATTTAAGAAAAAAAGCGACAATGACCCCCTTATTATCCAAAAAAAATTAGCAAAAAGATTAGAGACTTTTTTTTGCTCTCTCTCTCTCTCTCTTGTTTGCAGGAGTATTTAGGGAGTAATATCATGTCATATATAGTAATATTTTACAATTGCTATGTCGAACTACATAACAAAAAATATAAAACTATAATATAGATAAAAAGTGAGAGTTAGTTAGGTGATAATTTGCCTGACTAGGCGAGGGCTTAAAGGAAAAAACTTCTGTTTATTTTACAAATCATGGTTGATGAAAACGGCGAAAAAGCAAAGGGAATTTTTAACTAGAACTGAAAATGGCTGTCTGCTCGTGGCATGTTTGAACTCCCTTGAATGATTGAATGAAAAATATAATATATGGTAAGAAATATAGAAAATTGAATTAACAGAAATCTCAATCACTCCTCCATAGAGAGAGAGAGAGAGAGAGAGAGAGAGAGAGCAATTTCCTAACCTCTCTAATAAAAGTAATAAGTGCAAATATTTCCTCCCCCCTTTTGGCGGTGAAGTTTTATAATACTATAGGCTAATGTGGGGTTGAATAGTAGGGTTGGGAATTATTTGAATTTTGCTTATATTAGCATTGTTTATAGCTCCTTTAATCTTTTGAATTTTAAAAATAGTTAGGTTAGCTAAAAATGAAGACAAGACCGGAATGTGAGTAGTTTTCGCACTTGGATTGTTTCTTACTCCTCTAGTAGGTTGGTTGGTAGGTTTGGCTTTTAAAGAAGATAATGTTGAAAATGATAAAAATAAAGAAAAAGATTTTTGATGTGGTATTTGTAATATCAAATATAAAGAAGAGTTTTGTGGTGGAGAAACTGCTTATGAAGGTAAAGTTTGCCGTTCTTGTTTAGGAAAAAAACAAAGAGGAGAAGCCACCTCTTCTCAGGCACAAAACCAGCGAGCAACTGATGAACCTCCATTTTACATGAACCGAGATTATGGATTTAAAGAGAGCAGAAAAGTTAATAGCAGTGGAAAAAAAATACTACTTCGTGAATTAAATCGCAAACAGAGTAAAAAAAACAGTCATCTAACTTCATTTATTATCAATTTATTTGTTTTGCAATGATTATTCCCCTTAATTATTTATCTTTTTTTTTGAATCCAACTCAAAGAGACCATGAAAGTTCAGGCTCTCAATAATCCTGGAGCAAGATTAACTAGCACAATTCCTTTTAGTGCTGTAATCAAAGATTTCTTTAAAATACTGAGTTCTGAGACTTTCCATTATGGTGGTCACAAGATTGTAATAAGTTTCGCCTGAAAAATAGGAATAGTAGTTGCTTTTTTACTTCCGTTGGTAATTTGGATTTATAGTTTAGTAAGATTTTTTGGTGCCAAAGGAGAAACTGAACGATTAGAGACTGAAATTAGGGAATTGTAGGTATAACTTTTCTGATCCTCACTAATAAGGTAATGATAAAAATAGTTTCATAGCGCTTTTGTCTAAAATCTGATATCCATTTCACATTTTAAAATTATAAATATGTATGAATACAAAAAAAAAAAAAAAAAAACAATAATTTAATATTCATTGTTGCGGCTGGTTTACTATTTTTTACTGTATCATTAGGAATTATTTTTTTGGCAGGTAGGGAAGGAAGTGAACCCGACCTGCAAGTAAATCTTGGAGAACAACAAAGGCAACAAGTCCGAGAAGTAACTTCCCAACTAGTAGGAAACATCCTTGATAATCAAAACAATTTTAGTCAGTTGACTACTAACCCAAATGGGGCAAGACGAAATATTGATGAGATAGAGGAAATATTTTTATCGGGTAGTCTTAACCAACAACCCCAATCTCCTACTACACCAGCGCCAACTCAAATTACTAATTCGCTTTCTTTTGAAGTTATTGAGCAAACTTGATATGAATTAAGGGTCTTTATTAACGCTGGCTTACAAAATCCTAACCAACCCCTCATAGACAATGTCCGATTAAGAATTAGGAACGATATTGAAAAGTGATTAAAATGAGAACTAGAAAAGATAAAAGGTGATTATAACAAGTTATTAGAGGAGCATTTAAAATTAATTCAAGGATTAAAGACAATTAGAGAATTATTTGAGAAATATAGTCAAATTAGAACTAATTTAGTAATTAACAAAGTAGATAGGAGTAAAGAGTTGATTGGTAAAGGGTATTCGGACATTGACGTTGCCCAGTTAAAAGAGTGAAATTTGCTCGACCAAGAATTTCCTAATTTATATGACAAAAAAAGAATTGGAGTAACAAATGCTCTTTCAGCCATAAGCACTATTACGACAGACCGAAGAACCGGAAAGGTGCTTAGCAAGAAGATAACGGGTGGAAGTAGCCGAAAACTATTACTTTTCCTTAAACCTTCCAAAAACCATTCTTCAACTGTTTATTTCCCGCCTGACAAAATAGAAAAAGCCCAGCAAAATTCAGTTCGCAAAGTAATTAAAAGTTTGCTTGAAAATCAGTCAGCAAAATTAGAAAGAATTCAGAATTATGACATTTATATTTTGCGAGTAGATAGCAGTCATGATGGCGCTGGACCATCCTCAGGAGTAGCCCATTATTTAGCTCTTTATAGTGCCTTAAACAAAGTACCTTTGCCGAGCAATCTGGCTTCAACCGGAACTATTAAAGGAACGAAAGTGGGAGCGATAGGAGGCTTGCAACATAAATTAGAAGCGTCGGTGGAAAATGGAATAGATATTTTTATCCTTTCTCACAAAAATAAAAAGTCAACAAATCAAGAAGAAAGTTTTGATGACACTCCTCATAATGTCGAAAATAAAATTAAACAAGTTCATTTTATTAGTCAAGTCGACCAAATAGAAATAGCCTTAAACGAAATATTAGATAATACTGTTAAAGAAAAAGTTCACATTTGCAACAAAGACAAAACTCCAGACGAGCAACCAGAAAAACCCGAACAACGCGAGCCACCCGAAAAACCAGAGCAGCCAAATTCCAAAATTACTTCCGAGCAACTTTTAAGTTTAATTACTGAATTAAACATTAGAGAAAAAGGGAGTTTAGGAGAGCACCAAGATTTTTGGGAAAAATTAAAAGAGACTATCGTTAGCGAAAAAAGCCATAACTATGAAATGGCGGTATGAGGAGGAACCAAAGGAAGTATAAGTCTTCAAAAAGAATATGAGGAAAAAATTGCCGAACTCTCTAAACCAAGAAATCCGAACCAAGGTAAAAAAAATAGAAAGTTTTCTTTTGCTTCTAGCGGAAAAATAGTCAAAGAAGAGGAAGTGGAGGAAAGCGA